ATGGTGTATTTGTGGGGAAAGGGCACCGCAGGGCATCACACGGGAGTGAGCACCCCCCGCCCCAAGGGCTCATGCACCTGCCCTGTCTCATTCGGTGTGTTCCCTGTGTTTCTGTGCGCCCTTCTGCAGGTTGTCCACGCCATGGAATCATAGAATACTAGGACTGGAAGGAACCTTGAGAGGTCATCGAGTCCAGTCCCATGGTGTATTTGTGGGGAAAGGGCACCGCAGGGCATCACACGGGAGTGAGCACCCCCCGCCCCAAGGGCTCATGCACCTGCCCTGTCTCATTCGGTGTGTTCCCTGTGTTTCTGTGCGCCCTTCTGCAGGTTGTCCACGCCATGGAATCATAGAATACTAGGACTGGAAGGAACCTTGAGAGGTCATCGAGTCCAGTCCCCTGCCCCCATGGCAGGACCCATGAATGACTAGACCATCCCTGATAGACATTTATCTAACCTACTCTTAAATATCTCCACAGATGGAGATTCCACAACCTCCCTGGGCAATTTATTCCAGTGTTTAACCACCCTGACAGTTAGGAACTTTTTCCTAATGTCCAACCTAAACCTCCCTTGCTGCAGTTTAAGCCCATTGCTTCTTGTTCTACCCTCAGAGACCAGGAAGAACAAGTTTTCTCCCTCCTCTTTGTGACACCCTTTTAGATACCTGAAAACCACTATCATGTCCCCTCTCAGTCTTCTCTTTTCCAAACTAAACAAGCCCAATTCTTTCAGTCTTCCTTCATAGGTCATGTTCTCTAGACCTTTAATAATTCTTGTTGCTCTTCTCTGAACCTTCTCCAGTTTCTCCACATCTTACTTGAAATGTGGTGCCCAAAACTGGACACAATTCTCCAACTGAGGCCTAAACAGCACAGAGTAGAGTGGAAGAATTTCTCTTCTTGTCTTGTTCACAACATACCTGTTAATGCATCCTAGAATCATGTTGGCTTTTTTTGCAACAGCGTCACACTATGGACTCATATTTAGCTTGCGGTCCACTATAACCCCTTGGTCCCTTTCTGCTGTACTCCTTCCTAGACAGTTGTTACTCCGTTCCAGCAGGATTGTGAACCATTAATAACTACTCTCTGGGAACGCTTATCCAGCCAGTTATGCACCCACATCCCCAGCTTCTCCCTTATCCACAAGACTCATTATCCTATCAAGGATGACTTTCACCCAAGCTGCCTTCTACTTTCAAATTCTCAACCAGTTCCTCCCTATTTGTTAAAATCAAGTCTAGAACAGCTTCCCCCCAATAGCTTTTTCAATCTTCTGAAATAAAAAGTTGTCTTCAATACAGTCCAAGAACTTATTGGATAGTCTGTGCCCCGCTATGTTAGTTTCTCAACATATATCTGGATAGTTGAAGTCCCCCATCACCACCAAATCCCGTGCTTTCTATAATTTTGTTAGTTGTTTAAAAAAAGCCTCATCCACCTCTTTCGCCTGGGTAGGCAGCCTGTAGTAGACCCCTAGCATGACATCACCCTTGTTTTTTTACCCCTTTTAGCCTAATCCAGAGACTCTCAACATGCACATTTTCTATGCCCATCTCCAGCTCAGTCCAAGTATGTACATTTTTAATAAGGCAACACCTCCTCCTTTTTTTCCCCACCTGTCCTTCCTGAGTAAGCTGTACCCTTCTATACCAATATTCCAATCATGTATATTATCCCACCACATCTTTGTGATGCCAACAATGTCATAGTTGTATTTATTTATTAGCACTTCCGGTTTTTCCTGCTTATTACCTATACTTCTTGCATTTGTATATAGGCATCTAAAATACTGATTTGATCTTGCCTCTCAGTTCTGGCTTGTCCCTTTTCTTTCTCTCTGCTAGTATAGCCCACACTCCCTCCATCAACGACATCCTGCTCAAGAGAGTCATCTGACTGCGGGAGGTGAATGCAACCGTGGCTGGCTTTGCTGCCCTGGGGTTCCCCAGCTGCAGGGGAGCCGTTGATGGGACCCACATCCCCATCCTGGCACCGGAGCATTGAGCAGACCATTTCATCAATCGGAAGGGTACTTTTCAATGGTGCTCCAGGCCCTCGTGGACCAATGCGGCCGCTTCACAGACATCTATGCAGGGTGGTCCAGTCAGGCAAATTACGCTTGCATCCTGAGAAACTCCAGCCTGTATCGCAGGATGGAGGCAGGCACTTTCTTTTCCCAGAAGGAATTGATGGCTGGGGACATCCGCATGACACTCTTCATTGTGGGGGACGTGGCCTACCCCCTCATGCCCTGGCTGATGTGGCCGTACACCGGATGGATGGACCCTGGGCAGGAATGTTTCAACCACCACCTGAACCAGGTTGAGCATGCCTTTGGACGGCTGAAGGAGTGATTCTGTTGTCTGCTCACTCGTCTCAAAATGGGTGAGCAGAACATCGCTGAGGTTGTGGCAGCATGTTGTGTGCTGCACAACATAGTGGAGTCGAAGGGGAGGGCAGGTGAGAGCCAGGCATTTCAGCAACCCCACACAGCCGCCACCTGACAGGCGCACCACAATGGGCTGTGCATCCAGGAGGCCCTGAAGGACATGTTCTCCCAGGCCCACAGTAGGGTCGCTTCTGTCTCCTGTCCACATCTCCCTCCCATTCCCAACCCTTCCCTCCTCTCACCTCCCAATAAACAAAATAGTTTTTAGTTTAAACAAGAGTAAACAGTAATTTTATTTACAATGGGAAAGAAGGGGGGCGAGTGGGAGGGGCCTCTGAACTGGGAGGGGGAACTATTGTTGGGAGCGGCTGCTTCTGCCAGTGCCTCTGCGAATGCAGAGGCCTCAGAGTTCTTCAGGCTAGGTTGGGGCAGACAGCATGGGGAGGTGGGCAGAACGGGGTGCAGCAGGAGCAGGCATGGTAGAGGCAGCAGGAGAAGTGGCTAGAGGGAGCATGGGCACAGCAGGGAGGGTAGGAGGATGCGGCAAGGCCATGCTGATGGCTAATGTGCGACGTGAGAATGGAGACTGTATTGCACATCCTGTCGCACCTCTGGAGGAACTGCTCCCATGCCTGCTGCCGCCACTCCAGGTCAGCCTGCAGCTTGGTGGTGACTGCCGCCTCCATCCTCTCCATGGCCTGGACTTGCCGCCAGAGGAGCTGGTCACACTGCTTGGCCTACTGGACTGGTGCCTGGGTGGTTGGTGCTGCCACCGCCGCAGGACTGGAGGGTCCCTCGCTCCCAGCTGGTCCTGCTGCAGAGAACACAGAAAACAACGAAGGGGTCAGTCAGCCCTGCCCACACTGTCCCTGAGCCCCACATAACACCACACAACTATAGCTTGGGTCCAATCGGTCCCGTGTGTATGTTCGCATAAAGGACTAGCTCAAAATCCTGGGAATGAAGTGATCCTGCATGGATTGTAACCCTTGGGAGACATCACTGTGAATGAAGACCCCTTTGTCTGTGTCCTAGCTACTTGGCATGCAGTGTGTCTGCATAGCACTGTGCAAACTTCCTCTCCAACTTAGAGCACATAGCTTCTTCTCTTGTCACTGGCTGTGAGCACACACCATTGATGCTGTAGTTATGTTTGCGTACACATCCCCACATTACATGGGAGCAAGTGTGGCAGACGAGATCTGGATTCTTGGACTACTGTCATTGATTTCCTCAGAGACGCAGCCAGGGTTACTGGGGAGTGTACTGTTCCTGCAGCAAGACTCAGTGGCCCAGAGGCCTGGGCTGGCCGCTTCCCTGCTCCCCTGACCTCAGACCAGTAGCCCTGGGAAGTGTGTGGCCACAGTGGGGGCTTCCCTCAGGGACAGCCGAGGGGCTCCATTGGGGCTGTGCTCACAGGGCTGGCTCACTGCACTTTCCACAGGAGCAACTGCTGTGTCACATGGGCAAGCATGGTTGCCTGCGGTCTGTGTGCGGCAACCTTTGGGATGTGTGGGGTGTGGTCTGTGCCCTTGGGGCTTGGCTTGGCTCACCCGCCCGGGGCAGGATGTGTATGAGCAGCAGGGTCCCAGGCATACCCTGGAGCTGCCTGCTGTGTCCACGTGCCACACAGTCAAGGTGCACAAGGTTGCATGTGCTGCGTAAGCTTGAACTGCCTGACTGATGCTGCCCCCTTCCCCTGTGTGGAAGAAGCACTACACTCACCAGAGGATTGGTTGCTGGCCTCAGACAAGGCCCAGGAAGCATCCCAGCTGCTGGGCACTGGCTCGAGGTGGAGGGTGATGGGGCGGTCCTCTCCCTCGTCCTTGGAGCCAGTGGTCAGGCTGTCCTCTTCCTCCAGACCAGGTGGCCTGACCACGAGGGTGTGCAGTACGGTGTCCACTGCCAGCGAGGACCCTTGGACTGCTGTCTCGCTGAGGATGGTGTGCAGGTGCTCATAGTGGGGGCAGGTGTCGGCTCCTGCCCCTTTGCCCTCAGTGGCCTGGACATAGCCCAGGCGCAGCTCCTTAACCTTGGCCCGGACTTGTTCAAGGGTCCAGGCTGGATGTCCCTGGTCCGAGAGCACCTGGACCATGCAGCTGAAGGTATCAGCCTTGCGGTGATGGGCACCAGGATTGTGAAGGGATTCCTCCTGTGCCCAAAAGTCCAGGAGAGCCTTGACTTCAGCCCCAGACCAGCATGGTGCGTGCCGCTTAGTGCCCCTCCGGGCCTGCTGGGAGCCCTGGTGTGGCTGCTGGGAGGCGGGTGCAGGGTCTCGGGGTGCCTCTGGAGCAGACATCCTGGGACCCCTGGGTGCAGCAGGACAGAGCCACATGGTGGAGCTGCTGGCTGTGCTGATGCTGCCGCACGGCATCTGCAGCCTGTGTGTGCCTTTAAGAGGGGGGGTCCAGCAAGCAGGAAGTAGTGAGCTATGAATCCAGGTACGTAGTGTCCAAGCAGCCACCTGCGTTTTTTCCTGGGAGGCCAGTTCTTGTGCAAAATCTCTTGGCTGCCTGTCCACACTGCCCGCTTGATCAAGAAGGCTTCTTCTGCATACGAAGCATCAGAGCTCTTGCACAAGAAGCCCCGTTTTCTGACGCTTGACTGTAAATTTATTTGTGCAAGAATGCGTGTGCAGTGTAGATGCTCTGCAAGTTTTGCGCAAGAACAGCTGTTCTTGCGCAAGAAGCCTGCAATGTAAACATAGCCAGAGATTATCAGAGAAAGCATTACATTGCTTATGCAGCTGCCTCCTCTTCCTGAAGAGTCGTGAGGAGAATCACAGTCAGGAGCCCAGAAAGCAAGACACAGGAAACTAGGATTCCAGAGTACTGTGGGCATGCACAGCCACACATGGCTGTAGCCTACAGGGGATCTCTGGGGGTCTGTAGGGTTTGTGACTCATTTTGCAGAGGGAGGGCTAATGTAGCCCGATGGGAGAAACTTTGTAAAGAGAGCCTAATACAGGTTTCCTCCCACCCTCATCTCTTCCTCTAAGTTTTACCACATGAGGAATGAGCCAGCTCATCAATATTTACTAGATTCAAGACACTATAACATTCACAAAATAGGTTTTCCGATATATGTTATAATAAAGCAAGTCTACTTGTTCCTCAGTTGTTGGATCCTGCTAATATATTCTCTTTGGTCACCCTCTTTGTACTTGCTTGTTACTGATGTGGAAGAAAGGGAAGACAAAGCAGACATTCCCCCAGACTCTCTTAGGGTAAGTCTACACTGCACGCTTATTTCAAAATAAGCTATTCCAGAAGAAATACTCCAAAATACTTTATTTCGAAATAGCAGATCTATGCTACAGAGAAACCTCAAAATTAGTTCAAGGCAGGCTCCCCTAATGTGGACGCACTACCTCAATTTAGAGGCCCAGGAAGCACTGGGGAGTAATTACTTGGAATGGCCCCTGCTAAGGATCTTTTTTGAAATTGCAGTAGTGGAGTGTCCGCACTACCACTATTTCGGAAGAAAAGTTATTCCTTGTGGAATGAGGTTTACAGAAGTTGGAATAAGTCGTCTGTTATTTTGCATTTATTTCAAAATAACGGAATTGCTGTGTAAATGTTCAAATTGTTATTTTGGAATAACGGCCATTATTCTGAAATAACTGTGCTGTGTAGGCTCACCCTTATAGCAGTAATGAAATACCAAAAAAAAAAAAAAAAAAAATCCCAAAGCTCTATAAAATGTACTGAAAAAATATAATGCGTAGGCACTGAGTATGAGAACGATGGTTCAGCTCCCAGAAGACTACAATATATTCTTCTCATTCCAGATGGAATCCCTCTTTTTTTAAAAAAAAGTAGAGTAAATACATTCTACAATTTGGTGATACATTTGAATAAATGCAGATTAGTTTAATGGAATACTTTCCCTATTCTTAATAGCTTGGCTTTAAAAAAAAGCCAAGAATATTTAAATCAAAAGAAGCTATATCAATGTGATATCAAGGTTGACCTTTTAACCACAAGTTACTAAATTCAAATTGCAGATCCCACAATAATCTGAACTCTACCCCTGGTTTTTACTATCCATGTATTTTCATTAGTGATCACTAGGGGGCTGCGTCCCCTGTTCACTATGCTTGCCAAACCCCTCTCTCTGGCAACTTTCGTGGCCAGAGAGCGAGAGAGCTGCACTCACCAACCCTCCCTCTCTGAGGGTAGGTGTCTGGCTAGGGGGGAGAGGACATGAGCAGGCTGGGGATGCGGGGGCTTAGTAAAGGGATGTGTAAGGAGGTGCAGGATCTCACGGGAGGGGCTGTGTCAGGGGGTTGGGGGTTCGTGGTTTCAGTTTCGAGGGGTATGAGGAAGGGAGCTGGGGGTGCACACTCTTGGCAGGGTGGTGAAGAGCAGGCTGGAACCATGCTGGGAGCCCACGTTGGTGCTCCAGCCTTGGGGCCCGCCACAAGCTGAGACTCCAAACCCCAACCCCCTCACCCACTGCCTTGCCAAGACCCTGCGCCCCCAATCCCCTCCCTCATACCCTCTCCCCTTATTCACCTGCTCCAGCTCAGCCCCCCCTTCTGCCTCCCTGCAGCAGGAAGGTTGCACCGGCACTCCAGCCTCACCCCACACCCAGCGAGATTGAATTGCCAGTGCTGGCTTCCTGCAGGGGGTGGGGGTGGGTGAGGGTGAGAGCATGCCCTGAGGCTTCCTGTGAGCTGCCACTTCCCTTCCCCCTCTTGCAGCTGTGTGAACAGCAGTGCAGGAAAGTGCTTTCCCCACTGCTATCCCCCCAGTTGGGGGAGGGGGAATGGAAGCAGCAGCACAGGAGGAGTCTTGGGGCTTTCTCCAACCCGCCCCTGTAAGAAGCCAGCGCTTCAACCTTGAGGCAGGGGAAGGAGGCGGTAGAACTACAGTGTGTGAGGGGGCTGGAGCTGCAGGGTTTCAGGAAGGCAGTGATTGAGCAGGTTGGAAGTACGGGGTCTTGGCTTGCGTGGTGCAAGGAGGGGCTGCAGCCAGTAGGGATGCGGGTGAAGAGGCCAGTCAGCATGAAAGGTAGCCAGAGCATGGGGGCAGGCCCAGGTAGCTAATGGCGATGGTAACCTGGCGCAAGGAGTGGCTGCAGCCAACCTGTCAGTGTGAAAGGTGGAGGTGTGCGTTCTGGGCTTGATCTGGCTAGTGGCAATGGTAGTGTGGAACAAAGAGGGTCTGCAGGCTGCTGGGGCGGGGGGGGGAAGCTGTCAATGCAGAAGGTAGCTGGGGCCAGGAGGTAGAGGCAGGAGCTGGTGCTGGTGGCCTAAAATGACTGCCCCCCCCCCCCCCCCCCCCACACGCCGCCCCCCCCCCCCCCCCCCCCCCATGGGGGAGCAATGTAAGGGCCAGAGGAGGTGCCTGGAGCTGGAGGTGGGGTGACACGATGATGTTACTCTGTTGTCCCGCAGAAAAAATTGTTTGATATAAAAAGAGATATAAGACACCAGCTATGTGACACAAATGCAACATAATAGAAATCATTTGCACTTTCAGTAAGAGACTTTTTAAAGTCAAATTATATTTAACCTATATTTTGCTATCATCTTGGATAAGCACATGCCTCATATTTAGCTGAACAGCGCAAGGGTCAAATCCATTCACTGAAATGTAAAGGTATCATGAAAAGACTGAATTACACAGTAGTCAGTTTGGGAAGCAAGGCTGGGCCTTCAGCTATGACTCGTTAAGAAGCAGCCGTAAAGAGAGTGGGTTGGAACTGATTACTCTAAAGCCCAAAATTCAGATCTTTGTTTTCACTATTCTTGAGAAAAGGAAGTTTTCCCAATACTTTCAGAGAGGCAGTTCTTTGTTTTCCTGTAACAGCTGGATTATTAGCTCACCTGGGTACTGCACACACTAAATATCAACATGATCAATAGTCTTTATGCAAAAAATGAATCTGTAAACATAACTCTCCCATATTAAACACAAATATTATTACTTACCTGTAATTAATTATGGCCGAACAGCCTAATCTCCATTCTAAGGTTTCTGTGGTAAAGTCATCCGTATTACCAAGATCAGTAAAGCCAACAATAAAATCTTGTGTTTTTCCATCTTTTACTAATGCTAGAGTGGGAATTACTTTGATGTGCAATCTCTCACACAGGAATGGAGATTTTTCAGCATTTAATTTCAGGAATTTTGTTTCAATGTGTTTTTTTGCTAATGTTGCCAAATGCTTATCTAATACCACACATCTGTGAAAAAACAAAAATTAAAATAGGTATTACAAACACCATAAATCGTTTAAGTCCACTTCAGTGCTTTATTCCTTAAAAGTCATACTTTAAGAACCAACATTATAGAGGGGGTAAGGAGGGGGGAAGAGTAACAAGTTTGGAATATTTTATTTTTCCTTATTTTACTAGTAACTAACAGTTTCAGCTTACATTATCTGGATTTCAAGATAAGCAACTGACATTGTGGCTGGGGAACTCGGGACAATACGCTACTTCCTTGAAACCTCTGGCTTCTGGCAGTTCATAGAGAACACTCATCTTTTATTGGGGATGGTTCATGCTCCCACTGAAGTATTTGGTAATTTCTTTATTGAACTTCAACAGGAACAAGATGAAGCCCAAGTTTTAAAGAAGTAAAGTTAGTGAGGTTTATACTAGCGATGTTAAGTATCAGTTAATTGAATAGTCAAGTAACCTCATGAATTCTTATTGGTTAGTCGACTATTCTATAGTTCCTGGGGGCGGGGCTAGTAGCCAGTGCGCTCCGTCCTCACTCCTGAGGAGCACCCTGCCACTCTGAGCTGGGAGTTTAAAAACCAGCTCTCCTCGTGGACTGGCTGCCTGTTGCTCTGTGCTGCTGCCTCTGATAAAAAGGCAGCAGCGTGGGGTAGCAGCAGCCCCTGTCTGGGGTAGGGGCAGACCCATCCCCAGCCAAGACTGAGCCAAACTGCTGGCCAGCCTGCTAAAAAAAGTACTGGCAGGGGGGATGGGGAGGAGGGAAATGCGTGTAGTCTATAGCATTAACCTGTAAGCTTTTGTTTATCAGTTAATCAACTACACTGTTAATCACTGTATAAATTAGAGATGTAACAATCACCAGCGAATTTTTTCGCTCTGCTACTAAGTTTTCCAATAGCAAACCTGTTATTCCAAAATGAATACCTAGTTCCCTTAGTCTATGCTCCTTTCTTAGTTGCTCAGCTCAACAGTAATGAGCTGCCTGCCTCAAAGCTAAGCAGATGTGAAGCAAAACAGTTCTCTAGAAATTCTGTCTACAGACTGTAGTGAATATTTTCAGATATCAATTTACCAAGCTAGTCAACACAATCTGATGGTATTATAAAATGAGCCCCAGGTTAAACGTTCAGGATGTTTATTTGGTTTTAGATGAAAAATTACTAATTGCAGACCCCCCCCCTTCCCATTGAGATTTAAGGTTTGTTGATTTTACAGCCTCTAAATTCAATTCCACTTGCTGCTTTTGGCATAGTTCATTTACTTTTACACATTTTAGCATCACAAGAATCTCTTTAAAATAAGGCATTCATTGTACCTGAAGGATGTATCTTTATAGAAATGGCAAACCACATTTTGACTCTCTTTGACTTCTCGGAAAAAGTCTCTCTCACTTGGGATTTCTCTGTATTCTCCATGTCCTTTTGAAAGCCAATCCTAATCACGAGAAAACAAAAAGTTAGTACACTATTTCTTAATTGTATTTAATCTGTTAGGAGAGCAACATTACTTAGAGAGAACTTCCTAACACGGCACATTTGTATTTAATATGAATATATTTTTATAAATGCTGCCACTTGAAAACTTAAATGACATCTATAATCAGGGCTTGACAAACTATGGCAAAATCTACCGTGAATCATTCATGCTTAAATTTGACACTTTATGTATGCGTTTAAACAAAGACTCTAATTATCTCACCCATTATGAAGATAGCTTCCCCAATTATCACCCCTAATGTCATTACCTCACAGACACTAACCTTCCCCGTTCACCCCCACTCTGTTCTAAAATTTGATTTGTCAATTTCACATGCGTTCATTTTTTTGATTGTATCACTTTGGTATACATGGTTGTGCCAATTTTCTTCCACATATTGATCTGAGGAAGCGGGACTGGCCTACGAAAGCTCATCATCTAATAAACCATCTTGTTAGTCTTTAAAGTGCTACGTAGCTCTCTCTCGTTTCAGCTACACCAGAGTAACACGGTTGCATCTCTATCACTATTTCACATATCTAGTATGCATTATTGGTGTTTTCAATTAATAATATTTGAGGTCTCAATCACTTAAATATTAACACAATCAAATCCCAATATCAGTTTATTTGCTTAATCTTCTCTTAATCCAGTTTAAGCAAAATACACCCCTCTATAGATGTAATCGAGGCCAAAAATTCAAATATGTTAGACATGTTGTATTTTATGATTTATGCCAAATTTCAGGCCACAGCACAAATGTACAGCTATTAACACACCTACCCTTCGCTGAGATTTTCTATCAAAACACAAACAGAGTGAACTATGGTACTCTTTGCTATAGTGCATAAAGTATCAAATGCCATTCTTTGAAGTTGACAATCTAAAATGCTGCCAGAAAATTACCTGTTTCTGTTGCTGGGATTTCTTTAGGGCTTCAAGCCTCCTTTCTTTAAGGCGTTCTAATTCATCTTCATCCATTTGGTCCAATTTCTGGATCTCAGCATCCAGCTGTTCTTCCACTACTTGAGTAGTCTGAAGCATTTGATTTTCCAGAACTTTTGAAAGTCTTTCAACAGATGTATCAGCAGCCATTCTTCTGGCTATACAATACACTCCTTAAAACTGCAAAATACATGAAATCAGAGAAGGCTGTCATAAAACAATATCTAGTAAGTCTTTAGTTTATATCCTGATCGGGCCAGTCTTTTACGTGTTAAAAAAAACAAAACAAAACAAGGGTGATGTCATGCTAGACATCTACTACAGCCCACCTACCCAGGCAGAAGAGGTGGATGAGGCTTTTTATAAACTAACAAAATCATCCAAAGCTAAGGATTTGGTGGTGATGGGGGACTTCAACTATCCAGATATATGTTGGGAACCTAACATAGCAGGGCACAGATTATCCACTAAGTTCTTGGACTGCATTGAAGACAACTTTTTATTTCAGAAGGTTGAAAAAGCTATTGGAGGGGGGAGGGGAGCTGTTCTAGACTTGATTTTAACAAATAGGGAGGAACTGGTTGAGAATTTGAAAGCGGAAGGCAGCTTGGGTGAAAATGATCATGAAATCATAGAGTTCATGATTCTAAGGCAGTGATCCCCAAGGCGGTGCCCGTGGGTGTCCTGGAGCCCGCTGGGGCATTTATGTGTACCCGCAGAGTGACCAGGGAAGGCCCAAGCCATTCTTGCGCCCCGAGCCCCAGGTGCGCGGCCCCTGCCACTGGGTGCAAGGCGCATGTGCTGCCCAGCTGCTGGGTGAGTGGCGCATGCACAGCACCGCCCCCGGCTGAAAGGCGCACGCGCGGCCCCACTCCCAGGCACATGAGCGACCCTGCCCCCAGCCGCGTGGCGCATGCGCGGCACTATCCCGGGCACACAAGTGGCCCCGTCCCCAGGCGCCCGGCAGCACCAAAAGATTGGGGACCACATTTCTAAGATATGGTAGAAGGGAGAATGGCAAATTAGAGACAATGGATTTCAGGAAGGCAGATTTCGGTAAGCTCACAGAACTGGTAGGCAAGGTCCCATGGGAAGCAAGACTGAGGGAAAAAACTGAATAGTGTTGGCAGTTTTTCAAAGGGACATAGTTAAAGGCTCAAAAGCAGGCTATTCAGCTGCGTAGGAAAGATAGAAAACATGGCAAAAGACCGCCTTGGATCAACCAGGAGATCTTACACGATCTAAAAATAAAAAAGGAGTCATATAAAAAATGGAAACTAGGACAAATTACAAAGGATGAATATAGGCAAACAATACAGGAATGCAGGGGCAAGATTAGAAAGGCAAAGGCCCAAAACAAGCTCAAACTAGCTACAGGCATAAAGGGAAACAGGAAGACATTCTATAAATATATTAGAAACAAGAGGAAGACCAAGGACAGGATAGGCCCATTCATCAGTGAGGAGGGGGAAACAGTAACAGGAATCTTGGAAATGGCAGAGATGCTTAATGACTTGTTTGCTTCGGTCTTCACCGAGAAGTCTGATGAAGGGATGCCTGACATAGTGAATGCTAGTGGGAAAGGGTAGGTTTAGAAGATAAAATAAAAAAAGAACAAGTTAAAAATCACTTAGAAAAGTTAGATGTCTGCAAGTCACCAGGACCTGAGGAAATGCATCCTAGAATACTTAAGGAGCTGATAGAGGAGGTATCTGAGCCTTTAGCTATCATCTTTGGAAAATCATGGAAGACAGGAGAGATTCCAGAAGATTGGAAAAGGGGAAATATAGTGCCCATCTATAAAAAGGGAAATAAAAACAACCCAGGAAACTACAGACCAGTCAGTTTAACTTCTGTGCCAGGAAAGATAACAGAGCAAGTAATTAAGGAAATTATCTGCAAACGCTTGGAAGATAATAAGGTGATAGGTAACAGCCAGCATGGATTTGTAAAGAACAAATCATGTCAAACCAATCTGATAGCTTTCTTTGATAGGATAACGAATCTGGTGGATAAGGAGAAGTGGTGGATGTGGTATACCTAGGGTTTAGTAAGGCATTTGATACGGTCTTGTATGATATTTTTATCAATAAACTAGGCAAATACAACTTAGATGTGGCTACTATAAGGTGGGTGCATAACTGGCTGGATAACCATTCCCAGAGAGTAATTATTAGCATTTCACAATCCTGCTGGAAAGGAGTTAACGGTTAGGCCATAGAACAGATTCCAAACAAAGAAATATTTAAAAGACTGGGAATGTTCAGTTTGAAAAAAAGACACCTAAGGGAGGACTGAGATCTATAAAATCTTGACTGGTGTAGAGAAAATCAATAAGGAAGTGTTATTTATTCCTTTCCATAACACAAAAACTAGGGGTCATTCAATTCAATTAATAGGCAGCAGTTTTAAAAACAAACAAAAGGAAGTATTTCTTCACACAACAGCCAACCTGTAGAACTTTATGCTAGGGATACTGTGAAGGCCAAGGCTATAACAGGGCTCAAAAAAGAGCTAGATTAGTTCCCAGCAGAAAGGTCCATCAATGATTATTAGCAACTGGGGCAAAAATGCAACACCATGCTCTGAACATCCCTTAAAGAGAAGACTGAGAGGGAACATGATAGTGGTTTTCAGGTATCTAAAAGGGTGTCACAAGGAGGAGGGAGAAAACTTGTTTTTCCTGGCCTCTGAAGATAGAACAAGAAGCAATGGGCTTAAACTGCAGCAAGGGAGGTTTAGGTTGTATATTAGGAAAAAGTTCCCAACTGTCAAGATGGTTAAACACTGGAATAAATTGCCCAGGGAGGTTGTGGAATCTCCATCTGTGGAGATATTTAAGAGTAGGTTAGATAAATGTTTATCAGGGATGGTCTAGACATTACTGGGTCCTGCTATGAGGGAAGGGGACTGGACTCTATGACCTCTCGAGGTCCCTTCCAGTCCTAGTACTCTATGATTCTAAGTGCTCTGTAGCAAAATCAAATGTTAGGAAAAGCGAGACTGACCTTGTCCTATTAGGAAATAATATACAGACAGTTTTCTTCAGGAAGATCACACATGCACTCACCAGTCATATCCTATTCTCTGATTCCATAGGTCAGATGCTAAAATAGCACATTCAGATTCTTGGATAGGGAGGGTCCAGATTCACAAAAGGCACTTCAATCTCAGGCACCACTGTGATCCACAACACCAGTCACTGGCTTCTGCCTAACTCTGTAGGTGTCTAAACTAGCTAAATTTTCAGAGTTCAATCCCCTACTCATGCTTTTGTCTTTGGTCATGTGCACTGATGCCTCCCTTTAGGTGTCTAGATAGCTCTCTTGTGCCTAAGGCCTAGCTTGACCCTCCTCCCAGAACCCACACCCCCAACCCCTTTGTATACCAAACCCCACCTGAGCCCCTCTACACCCAAACTCCTCCCAGAGCCAGCATGCCCTCCTATATCTAGCCCCTTGCCCAGCGCAGAACCCCCTCCCACAACCCAACCCCCACCTCAACCTGGAGAAAGCGAGTAAGTGATGGGTGGAGGGGGGATGGGAGGAGCAAGGGAAGGACCAGGATAGGTCCTCAGGGGAGGGGCAAGACAAGCATGTTTGGGTGCTTAAACAAGAGTGAAGTGAAACTGCTTTTCTGAATAATTCTGCCCCTGAAGGTGAGAGCAGGATCCAAACCTCACAGCAGCTCCGTGTCCCACCAGTGCAGATGAGGGGAATGTGTGTGTGTGTGGGGGGGGTGCCCGACGTGCTACGCCCCCCTCCCGCTGGGTAACCCCTTTGCAACTTCGGCCCAGTGCAGTGTGTCACTAACACAGCGTGGACACGGTGCGACAGGGCCCTGAGCCAAGGAGAGACTGCTGTCCCTCCCCCCGCCCCGACAGGTGCCACACCCCAGCGGGAGGAAGGACTGCCGAAGTAAACACGGACTACTGCGCATGCGCGGCTTGCGAGCGTTACCAGCAACGCCCCCGCTCCCCCAAACGGTCGGTAACAATGCCGGGCCTCCCCCCCGGAACACGGCCCGCAGCTGGCCCCTGGTCTGACGAAGGAAACGCTACTGGTCAGGCCGGGCTGCTCGCAGGCCCCGCTCCCTCACCTTGTCCGCGCGCGTGTAGCGGCCGTGAG